GGCTTTGAGAGCTTGCTACGGGCTTCCTGCACTTGCAGAGGGGGTATCCTGTGACCTGACTCACAGGATAAAGCTGGCTTGTCACAATTAAATTAAGGGAACTGACTGCACTGCCCGTGGTCAGCTTGGCTCCCTGCGTTTGTCAAGTCACAAAAAGTAGCTCACTTATAAAATATGCATTGTCCTAAGCTCTGCAGTGACAAGGGTTCAGGGATCAGAATCTGTATAAAACCACAAATGCTCTCAGGCCAGGGAGCTTTAAATCTTTGCCAGCCCAGAGAACAAGAGGGAGTTGTAAAGAAACAATTCCAGACCTTTCCTATAGCTTTACTACTCTTGAAGAGTAAAACATTGATTAGCAACCTGGGGAAATTTGGGAACAGGCAGGGGTGATGAGTAAAAATAGAAGCTGAAGACAGTGAAATAGAGCAGTCAAGATGGCCTTTTCTGGGGCAGCCGACCACAGAAAGCAGGTCCAATTTAGGGAACAGGGGAAGATTAATATTCCATTGCATTTACAGTTTGGGTCACTAATACTACACAGAACACCCTAATTTCTGAATTGAATCTCAAGGCAACCTAGACAAACCAAACACAAAATAGTTTTCACTTAGGGGAAGGGAAAGTCGGATTGTGTTTTTCAATACATTTTAAAAGGTTAATAGGTGTTAAGGGCTAAATTGTGAATTGTGTCCCCTCCAATTCATATGTTGATGTCCTATCGCCTGCCACCGTATTTGTAAGATATGATCTTTCCACAGGATAAATTAAAATGAAATCCTTAGGTGAGCCTTACTCTATTATAACTGGTGTCTTTTAAGAGCCGAACGAGATCAGGACACAGGCACAGAAGTGAGACCATGTGGAAACAATGGCCGTCTTCAAGCCAAGGAAAGAGGCCTCAGAGAAACTAACCCTACTACATCTTCATCTGGGGCACTTTTCCAGAACTGTTAGGACATAAATTTCTGCTGTTTAAGCCATCGAGTCTAGGGTTGTTATGGTAGCCCTAGTGAACTAATCAATAAGACACAATAAAAACTATATTGTTAACAGTGATTAAAGGAGTTTCAGAAGGTATAAAAATCAATAAGGTCCACAAAGTGGAACACAGGATCTATCACCTCTATCATCCTCACTGTCTCACACGTAGCACAGTTGAAATTAAATGCATTTGGTAAATATAGCCTTTGTATTACTTCTTTGTAGGCCTGTGTTGACCAACAGCTTACATAAGAGCAAGTACAAAGCTAGATAGCTCAGAATTCTACTTGTTTAGCAGCTTGAAGTGTAAAACACAAAATTTTCAAAGTAGCATAAACTATGAAATCCATGCAATTTATGTGAATAGCTCTACTTATTGTGCTTGGCAAGATTGTATTTTGTTATACATCCATAGGAATAGGAACATAATTGCACCGTAAAACAAAAGGGCAAATTTACTGAATATAATATCTGTGAAACTTGGCACACACAGTCTCTTACACAGGTAGGTGTTCGATTAATGTTAACTTCCTCCCTGTCCCCTCTTTTCTATGTATATTAAAAGAAGGACAGAGATGATAGTTTTACTCTGCTTTCTAGTCATCTCAGGTTAATTAAAGTTATCAGACTTTGAACTAATTGTCATTAAAGTCAATCTGGCATTGGGATAACGTGCCAAATCTATGGTTTGTGTAACTTAATTCTGCTTTAGTAAGAAAAACTCCTGGTAACCAATGATAAAGCAATCTGGGTGGTAACTAGAAAAGAAAAAAATAATAGTTTTTATTTTTTTGGAAGAGAATGTACAACGAGATACTAATGAAGGAGCCAATCTTATATATTGTAGTTTTCAATAGATGTGATAGGTTAAGGCAAAGTGCTTCATAACCTTGCAGGGTGGGAATAGTGTTTTATCTTACATCATGGTCAGGCATGAAGATTTTAGCTATAGCAGAAAGAGAACAGGTTACACATTGCACACGCCGCCTGAGACAGGCAGCAGGGAGCCCCCAGTGGAACAGCTGCTTCTTAGGAAATCCACAAGAAACGTTTGAGGTTATCCCCAAAGTTGTCAAGAAACTCAGAAATAATAAATCTAGAGTGTCACAGTGTATAGAGCTAGTTCTCTGCTGAAGACGTCAGGAAAATCTGTCACTTGGTATTATAATGATCCCCCTCAGGACTTTGTGCCAAGTGGTAGGCACAGACAGATAGGAGTGAAACATGCTGGGGCAGAGGGCAGAATTCACATATAACTCCACCACCTGGGATTGGCTCCAGGACGGGGAATCATAACTCTAAATCTCTAAATGTTATTTCCCAAATTATTTCTATCTGTTAGAATCTGTACAAAGTATTTAACATGTAATGTGCAGTATACCTAAAGCGAGTCCCATGAACCTTTACAGTAGCAGATGTGAAAAAGCACAAAAAGAATAATTGTGGATAAAAGATAATACCTATAAAAAATAAAGCATTACTATCAAACCTAATAATTCCCAGATAAGATCAAGAAGGAGAGACATATATATATATATATATATATATATATGTTTATAATGACATGCACTGACTTTTTGCTATTATAAAGAGAAAAAAACAAGTCAGAAACAAGCGTTAAAGAGATGATATTTGGATCCCAGAGCACAACAAATGTAGAGAATGTGTTTTACAACCAGTACTAATATGAAAAAAATGTATTTGGCATAGATTTGCCTGAGAAAATAAACATATTATATTTTTTAAAAAGATGAGATTTATTTCCAGCAGAAAAAGCAAATTACTCCAGATTTGTGTCAATGCCAGAAAATAATTAAGCATTATTTCCAGATTTTGTTCAAGAAAAACCACTTGGGGGCCAAGGATTTTAGCATCAATCAATTTTTTTTTTAAGTAGAAAGTGCAAAAAATAAAATCTGTGTATATGTAGGCTCAGAAAACATTATATAAATATATGGTTCTTGAATGTGAGTTACTTACGATATCTACTAGTGGACCAGAAAAAGAATATAAATTAGGACTGAGTAATAAAGAATGTAGTAAACTACTCTCTAGAACTGTCATCAGGTAGTTTCCAAAAGATCTTAGATACCTGAGGATAATCTTTGTTCAAGCTATTATTATATAGTACTTGCTGTAGAAAACTAATGCTGAAAGATATTCTGGTGTCTAATTTTACACTGACAATTGTACACAATTATAAGGAAGCAGTTTGAATGTGGAAGATTACCATTCAGTATTCAAAGAACACTACAATAGGCAAAATAAATTTTCTGGAAATTTCTCTTCCTAAATTTAATATTTACTACCAGATTCAGTTATTTAATTAAACAAATTTGTAGCTCAGTACCTGTAGCTCAGTGGTTACAGAGCTGGCCACATACACTGAGGCTGGCAGGTTCAAACCTGCTAAACAATGACAACTGCAATAAAAAAAAAATAGCCAGGCATTTTGGCAGGTGCCCGTAGTCCCAGATACTTGGGAGGCTGAGGCAAGAGAATCGCTTAAGCCCAAGAGTTTGAGGTTGCTGTGAGCTGTCACGGCACAGCACTTTACCCAGGGCAACATAGTGAGAGTCTGTCTCAGAAAAAAAAAAAAAAAGTTTGTAACTGCATTAAAAAATATTATGTTTGCAAAGGATACAAATGTTTACCTTTGATGGGTTTTTCTTTCATTCTTCTTTTAGTTACTAAATATTTTTCATTAAAAGTATCAACACGAAAGAGAGAGACACCATCTCTATAAATAGACAGCTGTTAATGGCAGGCATCTATAGCCCCAGCTACTTGGGAGGCCGAGGCATGAGAATCACTTAAGCCCAAGAGTTTAAGGTTGCTGTGAGCTGTGATGCTACAGCACTCTACCAAGGGCGACAAAGTGAGACTCTGTCTCAAAAAAAAAAAAAGAAAGAAAATTTAATCCTGAATTCCATACACAAAAACATATAGTATATTTTGTATGCTAATAATTCAATTAAATGAACTTCACAAGCTTCTCTAATTTTTATATATTTTGGAGCGGCATGGATAACTTTTTTAAAGAATTTTCCCTTAAGAAGTTGGCTTAAGAAAGTATTTGGCTTTCATCGCTGATTTTGCAGCTTCCTGTGACCATTTTTCATGCTGTTTATAGAAGTCCTGAGCAGCAGTGCTGGAGAAGCAACCCTTTCAATACTAACTCGTTCAGCTTAGAGACTCAGAGTTTATGCTGTTGGCAAAGCTGACTCCCTCAGATTTCATCAGACTTCTGTGAGAAACAACAAGACCTTGAGAGAACCTTTCTTAAGTTCCCTGTTGACATTACAAAGAAGAAAGAAAAAATGCACATGTGAATTATTCACACCAGGAAGAAAATACTAAAGATTAAATAGCTTCAGTTTGAATTGTCTAAGAATGAGTTAGACAATCTACTTTGACATTTCGTGGGTATTTTGAGAACTGATGCCATCAAGCCTTGCTGAACGGACCATCGGAGAGAGTAAAGGGAACAGTCTCCCTTTAATGAGATCTCTTGAGAAGATAATTCTACAACCTTCAGAAATCCACTGACAGCACTTTATAAAATTTACATGATGTGTTTGTGTTGTAGAAAGAAAGATTTAAACTTCTATATAAAAAACAACATTATCTCTAGAGCTGGGGAGTTGGCCATAACATGGTAAGAACAAGGACTGCCTTTTTTTAAGCTTCAGGCAGTTTACCAACTATTTAAGCTATTGTGAACTTTCTAGTGCAAGTATCATGCAGTAAATACAGTGCCTTGAATAATGAGCATTTATCAATTTTGTTTGTTTAATTGACACTTTACCAAAACCTTATGAAACAGATGACATTGCCCTTATTTTGCAGCTGGGGAAAAAGAGTCAGAGAAATGAACTAGCTTTGTTAAGATTACACAGCAGCGATTACTTGAAAACACAGTTTGTGTGATATAAACATCTGCCACTGATATACCTCCAATACTGTGACTTTTAAAAGCTAAATGCAATTTTATTGGCTGAATTTTATATTTCCAGGTATTTTCTTACACTGCCGACAAAGAAATCAGAACGGATGATTTGTGCTTGGATGTTTCTAGACTCAATGGACCTGTGATCATGTTAAAATGCCACCATATGAGAGGAAATCAGTTATGGGACTATGATTCTGAGGTATGGTATTGTTCTTAATTTACCTATTATTTAATGCTTATCCTCAGTTATGTATTTCAGAAGCATTTAAATCCAAAGCTATATATTTTTTCCCATTAGCAGAATTGGATTTTCAAATATTCATATTCATCTTTGATAAAATTAGAATGGCATATCATATAAGGAGATTTTTGCCAAACTTGTCCAATAGTATAAAACACGAATGAGGAATATAAAATCATTTCTGTGTGTCGAAACTCATCTCTATGTACATGCCCAATATAAACGAGCCAAGGGGCAGGCCGAGCTTGTCTGAGGAGTATGTGTGAAGACGTGTGTCCAGGGTGACACCGACAACATGCTCATAGTTTGAAACTTCAAATTTTCTACCACTGTCATTTCTGATATTTATGCTTTTCAACCTCAAAGGAAAGAAAGTCAAGATTAGCAAGATTTCTTTACTACTGTAAAGACTGTCATAAATAATTCTTTACTATTTGTAATTATAAATATTATTCAGAATTCAGTGAGCAGTCATAGAATCTGCTAAGTAGCATTTTCTCAATTTAGCACCTTCCTGATAGAGGGGAGGAAGAGAAAACAAAATTACTGCTGAGAATTTATTGCCAGGCAGTGTGTAAAAACCAGATCAGCCATCAGATGGAGCTAATAAAAAAGAAATATTTTCCTCGGCATCAGGAAGCTGCCTCTCGGAAACAGCTTTATTTCCTTTAGCTCCTTTTGCTTAACAAAATGAATCGGTTGTCTATGTTATGTTTCCCATTTCCATTATCAAATGGGTGGCGGCTTATTTAAAAGAAGAACTGAGCTTTATTTTTTATAAGATAAGTAACCCCATAGAGGTAAATGAGTCTCAAAGACACAATGTTCCACAAAGTCTAGAACACTCTGCAAGAATAACATTGTAAAAATTAGTCTACAGCGGTTTTGATATTGCTGATATTTTAACAAGAGAATTTTTTTTCACTGTTCAAATATTATTTTAGTTTGCGTGATTTTGTGTTTATTTAAGCTGAATTTCAGGAAAACCTACTGAATTCTTGTAGGATGTGAAACTTGTGATATAGGGTTAATTTTGCTTCTAAAATTTATACCATGTTATGAGGCTCTTAGGACGCAAAATCTTCCGAGACATAATTGAGGACAAACATCCTAT